CCCCCCCCGCGCGCGCGCCGAAGGGGATCCACCCAGCGGCTCCCGCCAGCCCGCTGCGCCCTCCTCCAGCGCCTGGATACCGTCGGTGAGGGGCAGCTCCACCATCTCCTCTTCGGCTCCGCCGTCCCCCATGGCCAGGCCGGCTTCCTTTCCTTGCCCTCCTCAGCTGCTCGCCTTCCTCCGCTTCGGTTACATGGTGCGGGCCCTGCGCTTCCTGGTGCAGCCAGCAGCCCGCTGCCGCCGCCGCCGCTGCCGCCGCCTCCAGGCCTGACTCAAGTGGCAGGAATGTGACAGCAAGAAAGAGGAGGGGAAGGCAGAGGGAAGCAGGGGACCCGCCCCGGGGAGGGACGGAGGACCCCCTCCGCCAACGACCCCACGCCAAAGGCGCCCGCCGCCCCCCTCGGCCTGCACCTCTTCCCCACCCCGCGCCTCCTTTCCCGGGGATTCCTGCCCAGCAAATGCAGGCAACGTGCTTCTTGGGGTAGGGAGGGAACAGCCTGCCGTTGCGCTTCTGTGCAGCGCCTCGCGCCTCGCAGAAGCCGAATTCTTGTTCAGTCCCAGCTAGGGCAACGGGAGGACGCTGCCATCGAATGGGAGGTTCGGCCCAGGTGGCGTGCATTTTTCCATTTTTTTAAAAAATGCATTGTGCTGTTTATTTAGGATATTTGAAAACTTTAAGGCTGTTGTGGATGCGGGTTTTTTTATTTATTGGTATTATTTTATCCTTAATGTGTTGCAGATATCTCTCCCGTCCCAGTTTATGCGGAGGGTATTCCAGGGCACCAGGACTCAGGTTTTGACCAGATTCTACCGCCATAACCAAACTGTTTATTCATCATACTGGTGGTGGCACTGGCACCTAAAAGACTTAACAAAATTTGTGGCAGGGTATGAGCTTTCTGGAGTCACTGCTTACTTCTTCAGATAGAGCTACAGACTTCAAATACAGATACATTCTAGCTGTATCTGAAGAAGTGAGTAGTGGCCAGGGCCTGCTCGCTCACTAGGCGAACTAGGCCTAGAGCGTGCTGGCCCTTAGGGGCGCCAAACTGCCCCCCTCTCGCCATTGCATTTCTGCGGCCGGGTAACCCCCACTGCCGCCACCCGCCGCCTCTTTGGCCAGTTAACTTCTCCCTGTCTGCCCCCTCGGCTTCCCAGCAGAGCGCGAGCGCTTCTCCTCCTCCTCGCGGCTGGAGGCTGGCAGCAGCAGGGCCAGGGGAGCGATGGCTTGTGAGCACCCCACCTGTCAGCCTCTTCTCCAGGCGCTCTGACGAGGGGTGCCAAACTGCACCCGCCCCC